TGATGTATAGATGTTATGACACATATGTTGTGCTTTTCTGATAATCGCTTCAAACAATCGATTACCTGTCAAAAGATAATAATTAAACATTTTTTATAACAATTAAAATACAGACCACTTCAGAAGCATTACTATCCAAACCACTGGTCGGTTCATCAATACACAGGAGATTTGGTTTTATGGCAGAAGTTAACTCCATTGCTATCACTAGTCGTTTTTGTTCGCCACCACTTAGGTTTTCAACATTTGTATCCATTGTACTAATAAGTAACAACTCAACCATTATGCATTCAACATTTATTTGATGGTTAAAGTGTTGATTCTGTGACTGATTTTTTAATTTGGACGCATATATCATCGCTTGTTTGGCTGTGAGTCCAGTGGGTATGCGTTCCCTTTCGTCCTGAACTATATAACAGGTCTTAATTCGTTGATATTTACTTAAATATAGTGTCGTTTCATCGCTTAAATACTGTACGTATAGACCATTAATACACTTAAGCAGTGATGTCTTTCCCGCACCGGACGGACCCATCAGTGCATTCAAAGACGGAAATTCAAATAAACCGTTCAAATTATTTAATATATTTTTTTCGTTTTTAAACATAGTTTTTGGCATTTTTAGTGACAGTGAAGTCCAAGCGATACTAACCACCGGATCAAAGGTTTGCTGAAAAGTATTGTACATATCATTGCCATTAACGTCCGTATCATTGCTTTTGATGCTTAACATCGCGATCGCAGACAATCGGCTTTGGCTTATGATTGAACTCAACCTCTGTTTTGAGTTACGATTAAATTTGATAGAAATTGAATCAACAGACGAGTTGTCGTCCAATTCTTCCTGACTGTCGTCTATTAATACTTCTCTACTTTTTAAACTCCATGTGATATTTGTCTTCGTATATAAAGCAATAAAAGCCAGAATTCGTAAAAATATTGCATAAACTACTAGTTTATACAAATTTAACTCGAGTTCGTCATCAGTTACGCTGAATTTATATAAAACAATAGATTGTTCACCGGTTTTACAGCGATTTAAGCCATATATCAATATCAGAATCGAGTTAAACGAAAGTTTAGGGAAAGCGAAATCACTGATGCTTTGCAAAAATAGTGGCATTTCTTTCAGTGGTATAAAAAAATTGCAAAACAAAACCATTGTTCCCAAGAAACTGATTGAAGTCATTGTCGCGATTTGTGGATAGTGTACAAGAGTTATGCCGATAATGTGTGCATAGCCTTCAATACAAAACACTGCCATTATATTGAGTAACATATAACCAATAAAACGATGATCTTCATAAATCTGTCCACTCAGATAATACAGCAAAGAGTAATAAGATATAAAGTAAAGTAATGTTGGCCACAATTCTACAAAATTTTTAGCCCAAAAGTATGAGCCCGTGCTATACCAGCCTATAGTAAACCAGAATAAACTTATATTTAATCAATTATAACTAGATAAACAAATTGAATTACTAAACTGTTCTGATGTTCATTGATGAAAATTTTGACATCGTTGAGATATGCGAAAGTAGTAGCGCACAGGTGTATAAACAGCGCTATAATTGACGTAAAAAATAAAAAGTTTTGGTTCTCGAAAAGCAGGGAATCGTTTTCCAATTGTTTAAGACATGTAGTGTTGGACTGTAAGACATCATTGGGATTGAAACAGGCGTCGGGTCTCCCTATATGTTGGTTGAACATATTGCAAGCGATAATTGCAAACAATACATAAAACAAAAATTGTGAAAATATTATTGTCCATTGCGATACATAAGTGTAGGCCATTGTTCTCATTATTAAATACCATGTATCTAATGGTTTGAATGATTTGGATTTGAATTGAATGCCATTTGGACTAAGTTTACTATTGTTGCCACAATTGCTCAGCACTGATAGCTTAAGCATTTCTCTAGTCTTTGGTATTAAATGTTTATTGTATTCTTCCAACGATTGAATTGATGCCAATTTGAGTAACTGCTCGATCGGCACCTCATCTTCATTGCATATAATATCGCATTCATCCAAATAACTAGGAATACGCTCCGGAAGTCCACTAAACACACACTGTCCTCCCTTTCCCAATACATACAAGTGATCAAATGATAATACAATCTCGTTGTTTGGCTGATGTATACTTGTTATGATTGCTATCGATTGAGTTTTGCATAAATTCCTTAAACACTCCATTACCTGTCGTGTAAATAACAGTTTATAATATAAAGATTTTAGTCTATAAGAATTTAATTAATTAAAAATAACAAACTTTTTATATTAAAATTTACAAATAAAGATTAAATATTAAAATTTAAAGGAAAAGATTGCGTACAATCAGAGCCGCATTACTATCGAGACCAGTGGTGGGCTCATCGATGCACAGGATGTTAGGCTTAATAAGTTTGGTTATCTCGACAGCTATAGCCAGTCGTCTTTGTTCACCTCCACTGCATTTCTCGACAGTTGTGTCGCAAATATCGGTAATCATAAAGTCTGTCAAAACATTGTCGACAATGGAGTAGTGGTCGACACTCTTCTCATTACTGTTTTTCAATTTTGACGCATAAATCATATTTTGTTTTGCAGTCAAACACATAATCAACTGTTCTCTGGAGTGTTGGCCCACAAAACAAGATTCAATCTTTCGGTTAGCATTGAGATAAAACCGCGAACTCTTGTCCAAACCTTTGGTGTTAAGTTTGCCATTAATACATTTGAGCAAGGTTGTTTTGCCCGCACCCGACGGTCCCATTAACGCGAATAGTGTCCCAAATTCAACGCAACCGTAAAGTTGACTGAGAATTGTCTTCTCGGACCCGAACCACATGGGCTGCACTTTATATGTGAGATTAGCCCACGATATGGCCATCTCTGAGCTCATCGTTAATTTGATTTTTGATATTATTTGATGATTACAATAAAGTTTGTGCAGAGTTTTGAATTCAAATAAAGATTTCAAAATATAATAAATTTATTTCAGGGAAAATTTGTTGACAGACAGGTATTAATACTTTTAAACAAATGATATTTTGAAGTACAGACAACTGTATAGACAACTATTATATCAAGTTTCAAGCAATTATTAAATACTTTTATTACCATTAGTAATTTAAAAACACAAACTTAAGATCAATTATGGGGGGACTAACAGAAGGTGAGGGATTGCCATAAAAAATTGATTTTCCAAATACACATTATTGCAATTTATTATTTTTATAAATATAAATTATGTATTTTTATGCAGAAATATTTTCCGTCATTGTTCATTGAAATTGAAAATTTTATTTAAACATTACAAAAATTAATAAGTTCTCTGACAATAGGTCTCATTGAACTTACAAAACTTGTTGTTCCCTTCATTACAAAATTGCCGGTAATATTAATGTAAATTTTGGTTAATTTATATACAGAATGCTTCCCAATGTTGTCAAATATACAGTATATAAACGAATTGTCCTTCAAATTTGATATGACTTATTAATAATAAGTTATTATATACAATATATAAGACGATATTAATACATGAAACACGTGTACATTGCATTTATATTCTTATGTATTATTTATTTAACGGTAATTTATAATTGTTTGATATTTTTTGCGAAATATTTGAATAAATGTAAAATAATTTTTTACAACAAGTTAGAAGTTACCAAGTAATTATAAAACTTTTTAGGATTGGATTTAATTTAAATATTATGTAATTCAGTACTGAACAAAGTATTTATTGTGAACTAATATTGTGAGTTTACTTTTTAAAATTAAAACACATTAAAATAATTAACAATATACATGTATTTAATATAACAATTGTTATTTGAAAAGAAACATCCAATTTATAAACAAATAAACAAATTAATATTAAAATTATATTAAGTTTTCAAAAGTTGTTTCTATATATGTCTGAATTGTTTCTTAATTGTGTTGAATTTAATGTTGCATTTAATTTGAAGTATATAATTATCCAAGTTTTTATCGGATAATGTATTTTCAATCAATTACTAGTCGATTAAAGGAGTAAGATTGTGATCATTAAATGGAAATTTAAAGTTAATGATAGTTTAAAGTCAATGATAAGCTTTAATTTAATGTACATTTATAGGTAGGAAATAGGAATAATATTTGCACCTAATTCTCAAGGATTAAAATAATTGTTAATCGCATTGATTTGCAGCCATTTGTACTGTATTTGTTATAGCATAATGTAATTGTTATATTCTTGACTATGATATCTTGAACACGATTAAGAAAAATATAAAAATATCTAATAGCATTTTAATGTACTTTACTTTATGCACAATATTTTGTTATGACTTAAGTCATAAGTAACTTTTAAATGATAATTTTATTTGACAAATGTTTGCATTTTATTCATTTTAAATTAAAATTTTTAATAGACGTGAAATATTTTTAAACAATAACAAATCATTAATACAAAGTTATAAATAACTTTTTTTATAATCAACTTTTTACGTTAAGTCATTACAAATATAATTTGTCAAACTTAAAATGCTTAATAAGTTGTCTGTATTTACAATATAACTAAAATAAATATTGATTTTATAAAATAACTAAATCACCTTGTTTAATTATGTAATATTATTTTAATTTTATGTAATTAATAAAAATAATGCAACAAAACTTCAGATGAAAGTTAAAAATTTTCAATTATTACTTTATTTCAGAAATAAGGTGAGAGAAAACTGATACCATATTATATAACACAATAAACACAGAAATCCTTGAATTAATGTATGATTTATAAGTGCTTTAAGTGAAGCGTCTTATAAAATAATAGGTGAGAGAGGCTTATGATAAGATTGATTGAAATTTCAATTGATTTAACGGTATATTATGTGTTTAAATGCATACCGAAAACACTTGAAAGAGAAAAATAAAATTAATTGTAAAAGGCGTTCAAAATAACTTCTTTATCACAGCATTTTTTATAATCAATTTATTTGATTCCTATTTTTCTAGTGATAAAAACACAATCAATGCGAAGGTGTTTTACAAACAAGTTTCTGCTAAATCCCACTAAATTTTGATATTTTTTGAATAATTTTTTTAAAAATTAATTTTTAAATAATTGTTAGCTTTTAAATCAGAATAAACATGACATTAATGTCGACGTCTTCCCCATTAATTCAATTCTCAATTGTATTGACACTAATGTCTGTCATTACTTGTGTCAGTGATTGTATTGACTTGTTTTTGTCAATTTGTGGCAANCATTAATTCAATTCTCAATTGTATTGACACTAATGTCTGTCATTACTTGTGTCAGTGATTGTATTGACTTGTTTTTGTCAATTTGTGGCAAAGCTATAGTCATTGGTTTCATCTCTTATTTGGTCACTATTTTCATACAAAAATACAGAACTAAAGAGACGGTCAGCTCTTTGGGAAAGGCTGTACTCATTACAGGTGAGTGCTGTATATTTAAATAATTTTAATTAAATATTAAATTATCGTATAATTTGTATTAAATATTTTGAATTAAATAGAAATAATGTGTTTTAAGTGTTATTAAAACTTGAGCTTTGATTTATTAATTTTAACTAATAAAACAATGCTATATCTCACGCATACAATTGACTAAAACATCTTTAATATAAATCGTTTGCGATAAGTTATATTGAATTAAACATTTATTATTTTTATCAGCAATAAACATTAACATTAAAAAATATAATAGTTCCGTAATTGGACAGTAGGACAAACAAAACCTTCAACAAATACATAAATAAATAAATTCTAGCAAAATTCTTAATTAATGTAATAGTATAATTAACAAATTGAAATTAATTGATAGGCTGTGACACCGGTTTTGGTAATCGATTAGCACTTAAACTAAACCGAAATGGCTATCGAGTGTACGCAACAGTGCTGTCCGTCGGGAGTAAAGGGAGCCAAGAATTGGCCGAAAGGGCGACTTTTGTCGACAAAATGCATGTCTTGGAAATGGACGTCACGGACGACACACAAGTGTTGGACGCATACAAACACGTGAGAAAGGATGTTTTACTATCGAGACCAGTGGTGGGCTCATCGATGCACAGGATGTTAGGCTTAATAAGTTTGGTTATCTCGACAGCTATAGCCAGTCGTCTTTGTTCACCTCCACTGCATTTCTCGACAGTTGTGTCGCGAATATCGGTAATCATAAAGTCTGTCAAAACATTGTCGACAATGGAGTGGTGGTCGACACTCTTCTCGTTACTGTTTTTCAATTTCGATGCATAAATCATATTTTGTTTTGCAGTCAAACACATAATCAACTGTTCTCTGGAGTGTTGGCCCACAAAACAAGATTCAATCTCTCGGTTAGCATTGAGATAAAACCGCGAACTCTTGTCCAGACCTTTGGTGTTAAGTTTGCCATTAATACATTTGAGCAAGGTTGTTTTGCCCGCACCCGACGGTCCCATCAACGCGAATAGTGTCCCAAATTCAACGCAACCGTACAGTTGACTGAGAATTGTCTTCTCGGACCCGAACCACATGGGCTGCACTCTATATGTGAGATTAGCCCACGATATGGCCATCTCTGAGCTCATCGTTAATTTGATTTTTGATATTATTTGATGATTACAATAAAGTTTGTGCAGAGTTTTGAATTCAAATAAAAATTTCAAAATATAATAAATTTATTTCAGGGGAAATTTGTTGACAGACAGGTATTAATACTTTTAAACAAATAAGTTTTTGAAGTTTAGACAACTATTATATCAAGTTTCAAGCAATTATTAAATACTTTTATTACCATTAGTAATTCAAAAACACAAACTTAAGATCAATTATGGGGGATTAACAGACGGTGAGGGATCGCCATAAAAAATTGATTTTACAAATACACATTATTGCAATTTATTATTATTATAAATATAAATTATATATTTTTATGCAAAAATATTTTCCGTCATTGTTCATTGAAATTGAAAATTTTATTTAAACATTACAATAATACAAAAATTAATACTCTGACAATAGGTCTCATTGAACTTACAAAACTTGTTGTTCCCTTCATTACAAAATTGCCGGTAATATTAATGTATATTTTGGTTAATTAATATACAGAATGATTCCCAATGTTGTTAAATATAAACGAATTGTCCTTCAAATTCGATATAACTTATTATATACAATATATACATGTAAGATGATATTAATACATAAAACACTTGTACATTGCATTTATATTCTTATGTATTATTTATCTAATGGTAATTTATAATTGTTTGATATTTTTGCGAAATATTTGAATAAATGAAAAATAATTTTTTACGACAAGGTAGAAATTACCAAGTAATTATAAAACTTTTTAGTAGAAATCTAATTGGATTTAATTTAAATATTAAGTAATTCAGTATTGAACGAATTTGTTAAATTTACTAAGATTCTGAGTTTACTTTAAAAGCATTAAAATAATTAACAATATATTTAACATAACAATTGTTATTTGAAAAGAAACATCCAATTTATAAACAAATTACAGTAATATTAAAATTATATTAAGTTTTTAAAAGTTGGTTCTATATACGTATGTCTGAATTGTTTCTTAATTGTGTTGCATTTAATTTGAAGTATATAATTATCCAAGTTTTTATCGGATAATGTATTTTCAATCAATTACTAGTCGATTAAAGGAGTAAGATTGTGATCATTAAATGGAAATTTAAAGTTAATGATAGTTTAAAGTCAATGATAAGCTTTAATTTAATGTACATTTATAGGTAGGAAATAGGAATAATATTTGCACCTAATTCTCAAGGATTAAAATAATTGTTAATCGCATTGATTTGCAGCCATTTGTACTGTATTTGTTATAGCATAATGTAATTGTTATATTCTTGACTATGATATCTTGGACACGATTAAGACAAATATAAAAATATCTAAATTTAATAGCATTCTAATGTACTTTACTTTATGCACAATATTTTGTTATGACTTAAGTCATAAGTAACTTTTAAATTATAATTTTATTTGACAAATGTTTGCATTTTATTCATTTTAATAGACGTGAAATATTTTTAAACAATAACAAATCATTAATACAAAGTTATAAATAACTTTCCTTATAAATAACTTTTTACGTTAAGTCATTACAAATATAATTTCTCAAACTTTAAATGCTAAATAAGTTGTCTGTATTTACAATATAACTAAAATTAATATTGATTTTGTAAAATAACTATATCACCTTGTTTAATTCTGTAATATTATTTTAATCTTATGGAAGTAATTAATAAAAATAATGCAACAAAACTTCAGATAAAAGTTAAAAATTTTCAATTATTACTTTATTTCAGACATAAAGTGAGAGAAAACTGATACCATATTATATAACACAATAAACACAGAAATCCTTGAATTAATGTATGATTTATAAGTGCTTTAAGTGAAGCGTCTTATAAAATAATAGGTGAGAGAGGCTTATGATAAGATTGATTGAAATTTCAATTGATTTAACCGTATATTATGTGTTTAAATGCATACCGAAAGCACTTGAAAGAGAAAAATAAAATGAATTGTAAAAGGCGTTCAAAATAACTTCTTTATCACAGCATTTTTTATAAGCAATTAATTTATTTGATTCCTATATTTCTAGTGATAAAAACACAATCAATGCGAAGGTGTTTTACAAACAAGTTTCTGCTAAATCCCACTAAATTTTGATATTTTTTGAATAATTTCGAAAATTCTTTTAAAAATTAATTTTTAAATAATTGTTAGCTTTTAACAGTCTTATTTGTACTGTAATTACAGCTGCAGAAGGGGTAATTAAGTTAAGAGTTAACATAACTGTGATTACAGACAGTAATGAACACAGTCACTAACATAACTGAACAAAAACAGTTAAACACCGTTAGCTATAGTCATTGGTTTCATCTCTTATTTGGAGTGATAAAAGTATGTTTTTATGTCTTGATTTCTCTGCCAGTCGAGAAACCCTTTCCGACATGAGTAATGTCCACTCACGACATATAAATTTATTAAAATTAATTTATAATTTAATAGCATATTAAAATATTAAATATTTTGAATTGAATAGAAATAATGTGTTTTAAGTGTTACTAAAACTTGAGCTTTGATTTATTGATTTTAACTGATAAAACAATGCTATATCTCACGCATACAATTGACTAAAACATCTTTATTATAAATAGTTTGCGATAAGTTATATTGAATTAAACATTTATTATTTTTATCAGCAATAAACTATTAACATTAAAAAATATAATAGTTCCGTAATTGGACAGTAGGACAAACAAAACCTTCAACAAATACATAAATAAATAAATTCTAGCACGAAAATAGCTTAATTAATGTAATCGTATAATTAGCAAATTGAAATTAATTGATAGGCTGTGACACCGGTTTTGGTAATCGATTAGCACTTAAACTAAACCGAAATGGCTATCGAGTGTACGCAACAGTGCTGTCCAAGCCCTCATTTCCCTCGGTTCTTAACCGGCTTTCCCGCTGAAAACAGCTGTTTTACGTACAGAACCTTTACCTGCAGTGCCTGCTGTGTGTTCACAACCTGCGTATGTTTGTGCACTCTTTCCTACAGAAGTCGAGGGGCGATCAACTGTGGGCACTCGTCAACAACGCCGGTCTATTCAGTTGCGGTCACTTAGAATGGGGTACTTTAGACACCTTTAACAAAGTGTTTGCCGTCAATGTGTTTGGTATGATTCGGGTCACCCGTGCTTTCCTGCCCCTCATTAAGGAGTCAAAGGGTATAATTTAGATGACAGACAAAAGCAATTGCACCATGAATAAAACAATATAAAATGATTACAGGTCGTGTAGTGAATATGGTGAGTCTTGGCGGCCGGTTTACGTTTGATTTGGGCGGACTGTACTGTATGTCCAAACACACAAACATTGCCTTTTGCGACGCTTTGAGACGCGAGATGAATAAGTTTGACGTAAAGGTGTGCACAATAGAGCCCGGATTGTTTGTCACACCCATGACCACCGATGAATACATCGGTCAACTCTTTACGCAAACGTGGAACCAATCCAGCGATGAGGTGAAGAAGTCATACGGCAATAGATATATGGAGTGCCAGAAGAAAGTGGCCCTCAATTTCCAGAATCTAAAGTTACGCCCGTGACTATAACTCAATCAACACCTGCTATACCACCTGCGGCATGTCTTAACACTAGGCGTCTAGTACATGGCTGGGTAGCTCCCAAACTTCTCATTTGATAGTACAAACAACGGTGTCTATTTACCGTCCAAATTGTTGGATCTGTTGACATACGCTAACGATAAGTCCAGACCAGACGGTGTCCAGCAATAAAATTTGGGAAATTATATTGTTTTTAGAGATATGCATATTAAGTGATTGTCTATTTTAAACTTTTATTTGCTTGATTAAATTTGATACTACTTTTAATATTTATCTCAAACATGCAGAGCTTATTTCTAGTGATTGTTCAAAATTAAAAACAAATTTCAATATAATGTTGTCAATTAAAATAATTAAATTTACACACAAAACCTTATGTTGTATTTATTAATAATATTATATAATTTAAATTTAAGCACTGGAAAACTGATATTAACTATAATGTACTGTATATCAATTTTATAAATACAATTAAATAGATATTAAATAATAATTACTTTTACTTAATATTTGAGTACAAATAAGTGCAATATATAGCCGACCAGTGAAAATGATCTAAAGTATACTGAAGTATCTTAAGTATCTTAATATATCTAAAGTTGATAACTCTATAAACTGGGTGTTGAAATTTTAAAAAATTTGCAAATAAATGAATGAAATATATACCAAATATTGTAAAATTTTAAAAATAAAATATAAATCAATGTGAATATGTCCTTATTGTATATAAAATACTTTTCAAATGATGGTAGCCTTGAATGCATTCAATATTTGAAAACACATGATATTTATATGATCAAGGCTTCTAAGGAAGAAATGGTGATTATTTAAAACATTATAAATATTGTGGAAATATATAAACACAAGAGTTTAATAAAAATAAAGCCATACCATATATATTTCAAATTTATAAGAAAATACAAGTTAGTAAAAATAGTTCATTACATTTAGCAGTAAATTACATACAGTAATAAATAGCAAATAAGTGTTGCGATCAATTCATAAGTGATATGAATCAAGTGTTTAGAAAATTATCAGTCATTAAATTGACGACGAATTTTGCCGAAGCGGTCAAACTAGTGGAGCAGCCATTGGTCACACCGGCAGACAATCAGGTGCTCATCAAGAATATATACGCCGGGGTTAACGCATCCGATGTGAACATAACAGCCGGCAGATACTTTACAGATGCAAAAGTGCCCTTTGATGTGGGGTTTGAGGTATTTATTGATTTATCATTATATGAATTATATAATTTCATGTCAATCAATGTCACTCAAACACTGTGTATTATACCGGTATGTATTTAGGGTTTGGGTGTAATCCATGCGTTGGGCAAAAATGTGACCAAATATCGTGTGGGACAGCCGGCACTCTTCCTCGAGTCTAAAGCCTATTCAGAATATGTGGTATAATTTAAAATGCATTTCAATAATTGTACACATGTATTTCCACATGTTTTAAACTACTATATTATTCACAAACAGTACATAAAACAAGATAATGTAATACCGGTTCCCGAATTAAAACCCGATTATCTGACACTTTTGGTTAGCGGACTGACCGCTAGTATAGGACTCGATAAAGTAATTCAGTTTTGTTTTAAATAGATTTACTGACAATTAATGATATCTATATTTAATTAAAGCGCGGACTTATCAAAGAAGGCGAAAAAGTGCTCATTACGGCCGCAGCCGGCGGAACAGGTACCACAATATTAAATATAATTAAATTTGTATGTGCACCCATATGTATTAAATATTGTTTAAATAATTATCTGTATTTTGTTTAATTTGAATCGAAAGGTCACTTATGTGTTCAATGGGCTAAGAAGAAAGGGTGTCATGTAATCGGGACCACATCATCGCCAGAGAAGGCAAACATGTTGAAAGAGTTGGGATGCGATCGAGTTATCAATTATAAAACTGAAAACCTAAGCGAAGTTCTCCGCAATGAATACCCGGTTTGTAGGC